TCTTCGTGGCCGGTCCTGTGGCCAGCGCGTGTTGGGCACAGGAGCGGGGCTGAGGGGGGCTCGGCGCCTCCCAAGAAGGGTCTGCCCATGAGTTGTTTTATTTTCTTACCGCGTTCCCCCCGCACACACACCCCCCCCGCCGTGTGGAGGTAGAGTGTAGATGTGGGTGCAGTTTTTAACCAAACCAACCGAAAAAAAAAAAAAAAAAAAAAGGAGAAAAATGGGGAAAAAATGAGGCAACGTGCTGGCTCGGTGATGCCATCCCCACCGCCGAGCATCTCCCGGGGCTGGGACCCCTGGTAGCAGCATGGAGGCAGAAGGCTGGGTGCACAACTCAGTGTCACCCCCCGGCGCCGTGCCGGTGGTGCCGGTGGTTAGACCCCGTGGGGATGTAGCCCCCCCCAGCCTCCGCTCAGGCTCCTGGGCCCCTCGCCAGGTCCTGCGCCAGGCCGGGGGGAGGCGGGTGTCCTCTGACGGGCCGCCCTGAGCTGCGGTGAGGCAGGGCTGCACCCGTGGTGGGGTGGGACCCACGGCAAGGTTGCACCCCTGGCGAGCTTGCACCCACTGTGAGCTTGCAGCCACGGCGAGGTTGCACCCACGGCGAGCTTGCACCAAAGGCAAGGCTGCACCCCCATCGTGGCTGCACCCCCAAGCCCCGTGCCCACAGGAGGGCAGCAGCCCCCAGTGCTGCGTCCCGGGAAGGGGCACTTGGGCTCTTTTTTCTTTCTTTTCTTTTTTTTTTTTTCCCTTTCTTTTTGGTAAGTCTGAGACATCCCCCCCCAAACACCCTCTGGACACCGAGGACAAGACGCGTCCCTCCACCGGCAGTTCCTGGCCTCGTTCGGGGGGGACAGCGGAGGAAGAGCGAACACACCTCCCCAGCACCCGGCTCTCCAGCCAGACCCATTTTCTCTCTTTCTGAAGCAAAAATGGCCTGGCCCTTGCGCTTCGCTCTGTCCCGCTGCGGGGAGGGCAGGGACCCGCCTTTGGGTGCCGGGTTCTGCCAGCGCCTGCCCGGCAGGCGCCGGTGCCGGGCCCCCCGCCGGGTGTCCGCGCCCACCTCCTGCACTGCAGCGAGCTGGGGAGAGCCCGGGCATGGAGGCAGCTGCCCTGCCCTCCTCTTGGCTTCTCCTTCCCTTTGCCTCACCCTCATCCTCTTTTTCTTTCTATTTTTCTTTCTCTTTGGTTTCCCTTTGTCTTTTTATTTTATTGTTTCTCTATCCCTTTCTCCCTTTTTCCTTTCCTTTCCTTTCCTTTCCTTTCCTTTCCTTTCCTTTCCTTTCCTTTCCTTTCCTTTCCTTTCCTTTCCTTTCCTTTCCTTTCCTTTCCTTTCCTTTCCTTTCCTTTCCTTTCCTTTCCTTTCCTTTCCTTTCCCTTCCT